CACTGCCCCAAAGAAAGAAAAAAATGAAAAGAAAACAAAAAAAATAGTATCTGCTGATGATTTGTTTTCCCCTCAAGCTACCAAAGTCACACAAGATGTGGACCTTAATGAAATCGATGACTCAATGAAAATCAAAGCCAACCAGGAAATGCAAAATACACTACAAGAATTGTTTTTAAAAATGCTTTGAAAATACTTCACAAGAACTAAAATCAGAAATTAACATTAACAGCACCTTGGAAATCAAAAAAAGAAAGTGTTCTAGTAGAGATAATTAAAACTTTTGATGAGAACGTACAGCAAATGGACACACAACAACTGATGTTACAAGAAAAATACGACTCCCTCCTCCTCAGAATAAATAAACAAGATCTAAAACTAGAGGCGCTGGATGATCGTGCAAGAAAAAATAATTTACGCTTCAAAAACATCCCAGAAGAAATTAGCCTAGAACAACTAAGGGAATTCCTAACCCAAAATTTTAAAGAGGCAGGAGTCGAAGATAAAGACCTTAATTCCACAATTGAGCGAATACACCACTTACCAAAACCAAATTTGCTGAAGGCAACTCGCCCAGAGATGTCATTGCCAACTTTCAGTCTTACTTATAAGAGAACATTCTAAAGTTGGGAAGAGGAAAAAATCTGAACGAAAAATTTAAAGATGTGTTGATCTTCCTAGCCCTTTTATATCAGACAAGAATACGCCGCAAATCATTTGCGGATACTCTGCAAAAATTAGGACAAAACAATATTAAATGTAACTGGGGTTTCCCAACCTCCATCAACCTATTCTAGGAAGGCAAAAAATTATAATTTCAAACTTTAGAATCTTGGTTTAAGGAAACCATATCTATTTAAGTATTATATATATATATATATATATATGTACATTTCCTTTTTTTTTCTCTCTCTCTGAGGTGCTGCTATATAGGTACTAATCAATACACATAAATTGTAATGGATATAACAGAGCAAATGGTTACAATGGAGGCTCAACATCTCCTTCATATTTTATTGCAAAACATGTATAATACAAAAATAAGTCACTCATTTAATACAATTGCAGAACATGATTACTGGGAAAAGAGGGTAAAAGAACGAGGGAGGGGGAGAAGATATATTAAGAAAGGTAGGAGGGGGTATGAGAGAGAAGGAATGGGAAAAAATTGAAAAAAATGGGATAACAAGAGGGAAAGTTATGCATACAACACTTTATCAGGTTTACACTAGCATTTAGCTTATTATAGAGCACACAAAAGGATGACACGTGTGTATCGATAATAGAAATAGTCACTATTTTGAACAGAGTAAATAAATTACTGGAAACACATCCACTAATTAGTATTTAGATTTCTGAGCAGAAGCTTCAACCAGGGAGAGAAGAAGGAGAGAGGGGAAAAAAGGGAAAACAATATGATAACATAGTAATAAGGCAGTAAGTAGAGTTGAGCGGACACCTGGATGTTCGGGTTTGGCCGAACTTCGAAAAAAAGTCCGGGTTCGGGATCGAACTTGACCCCGAACCCGAACCCTATTGAAGTCAATGGGGACCCAAAATTTTGGGCACAAAAATGGATCTAAAAAAGTCCTGGAAAGGGCTATAGGGCTGCAAAAGGAAGTAAAATGGAGGTAAGAGTAGGACAAGTGCCCTGCAAACATATGTGGATAGGGAAATCACTTAAAATAACTTAAAATAAGCAGCCGCTTAGTAGATAACTCCCTAATTCCCACGGTATTAGAGAGCTATCTACTAAAAGGCTGAAAGACCTAAATTGGTCACCTAAATTGGTCTTTCAGCCACATTTACTAATACTAAGTAAAGATTACTTAGTATTAGTAAATTCAGCCCTTACTCGCTATACCGCAAGTAGGGGCGTGTCTAGTAAACAGTGAGCAGCCAGTGGCTGCTCACTGTAATCCCCCCCCCCAAAAAAAGCTATTGGCCCCCACCCCTGAATGGTGGGTGGGGGCCCTAAAGTAAAATAAGGGGGGATCTATTGTCATCCCCCCGGCCCCCACTCCTGTGCGGCGGGTGGGGGCCCTACATAACAATGATGGGGGGACCTACTGTCCTTCCCCCGGCCCCCATCCCTGCACGGTGGGTGGGGGCCCTACATAACAATGAGGGGGGGACCTACTGTCCTCCTCTCAGCCCCACCCCTGTGCGGCGGGTGGGGGCCCTACATAACAATGAGGGGAGGGACCTACTGTCCTCCTCTCAGCCCCACCCCTGAGCGGCGGGTGGGGGCACTAAATTTACCTAATGTCATCCCCCCTGGCCCCCACCCCTGCGCGGCAGGTAGTGGTCCTACATAACAATGAGGGGTGGGGGCCCTAAATATTAAATAGGCCTATTGTCCTCTCCCCCGGCCCCCACCCCTGAGCAGCGGGTGGGGGCCCTAAATTTAGAAAAGAGGGGGACACCTATTGTCCTCTCCCCGGCCCCCACCCCTGCGCGGTGGGTGGGGACCCTAAGTTAGAATAAATGACCTATTGTCCTCCACCCTGGCCCCCACCCACCGCCCTAAATAAAAATGTAACCCCCCCCCGTCACCCACCTCCCCCCAAAAAATAACCCCTACCTACCCCCCTCATCCTAAAAATAATGAGGGGGAACCATAAGCTAAATACCTGTAAAAAAAAAAAACTTACCATTTGATGTCTTCTTTCTTCTAAAAGCTTATTTTTTCAGCCCCAAAAAAGGCCTTGTGTTATTGTCCTGGAACTGGCTTCTAGAGTCCACTTGTCCAACGAGTTCTTGGATACTAGAATCCTTGGCTCTCTACAAGGTTCTTGTTGACCTTGTAGAGAGCCAAGCATTTCAGTGTCCATGTGTGTGGATACTTCTGAGTATGGCTCATATATTAACTCACATGCCCAAGATGGATCTTGGAGGCTACGATGTTTGTGAGGAGTTGCCATGTTGTGGGGAGGCAGGTTAGTGGTGTTGTTCCGTCGTGAGGGTCCTTCATGATCAGTATTTTTCTTCCTTGTATTAGCCGAATATAGTGTTAGTGTCCGTCCATTATTCTTAGTTTGTTTAGTTCTTTGTACTGTAGTGTGTCCAATATTGTTGAATGGATAAGGCAGTGGCTGAGTGACAGGCAACAGAGGGTTGTAGTCAATGGAATATATTCGAAGCTTGGACTTGTCACCAGTGGGGTACCTCAGAGATCTGTACTTGGGCCCATTCTCTTTAATATTTTATTAGTGATATTGCAGAAGGTCTTGATGGTAAGGTATGTCTTTTTGCTGATGATACTAAGATATGTAACAGGGTTGATGTTCCAGGAGGGATAAGCCAAATGACAAATGATTTAGGTAAACTAGAAAAATGGTCAGAATTGTGGCAACTGACATTTAATGTGGATAAGTGCAAGATAATGCATCTTGGACGTAAAAACCCAAGGGCAGAGTACAGAATATTTGATAGAGTCCTAACCTCAACATATGAGGAAAGGGATTTAGGGGTGATTATTTCTGATGACTTAAAGGTAGGCAGACAATGTAATAGAGCAGCAGGAAATGCTAACAGAATGCTTGGTTGTATAGGGAGAGGTATTAGCAGTAGAAAGAGGGAAGTGCCCATGCCATTGTACAGAACACTGGTGAGACCTCACTTGGAGTATTGTACGCAGTACAATACCATATCTTCAGAAGGATATTGATACTTTAGAGAGAGTTCAGAGAAGGGCTAGTAAACTGCTTCATGGATTGCAGGATAAAACTTACAAGACTATATTTAGAGACTATATTTAAAAGAAGAAAAACTACCACAACAAGAGGACATAGTCTTAAATTAGAGGGACAAAGGTTTAAAAATATCAGGAAGTATTACTTTACTGAGAGGGTAGTGGATGCATGGAATAGCCTTCCAGCTGAAGTGGCAGAGGTTAACACAGTAAAGGAGTTTAAGCATGCGTGGGATAGGCATAAGGCTATCCTAACTATAAGATAAGGCCAGGGACTAATGAAATTATTTAGAAAATTGGGCAGACTAGATGGGCCGAATGGTTCTTATCTGCCGTCACATTCTCTGTTTCTATGTTTCTATGTCATCCTGGTTTGGAGTTTTTGCATCCAATAGCAGTCTATATTCTAATTTTATACTTTTTTTTATATATATATTTTTATATACTTTTTGATACCTTTTGGGGTAATACTTTATTTTATTTTTTTCTCTCTGACTCTCTTTAAATATGTATGCTATTAGATATTTAGGTGCCTTGTGCGATATGATTTGCTGCTCTTCATTCCTATTTATTAGAAATATTATTATTATAATATTATTATTATTATTGATTATACTTTAGTTCTACTCCATAAGCTTATAGATACATGTGTTTTGAAAACAACGCAGAGAGTTATTTGCAGTTGTGTATTGGAGTTTGTTACAATCACGGCACATGTGTGTTTGGCAGCTCAGAACTACAGGCTGCCAAATGTCAATGCTGTGCATAAAATACATCAGTCGTCAGTGCACACAGCATGCTGGCAACAGACCTTTTGGGCTTCTTCCTTGCAGGAAGACACATATTCCCCTCCCTTCCTATACAATTAGTAGTGCTGTTTTTGTCTTTTTTTTTCTATACCCTCTCTCTCTGGGAGAGCTCAAATTGTAAGCATGCGCTAAGACCCAACAAAACGGTCCAATGACAGGCTTGTCTGTAAGGACAGCATGAAACCCTGGGTGAGATTAGTAGGGGGCACGGAAGGCAGCGCTGCGAACTTCACATAGTTTTGAATTTCATGTAAGTAAAAGCCTTTTTTTTTGCAGGTTTACAACAAATTGGAGGAAGGGAGGGTACCTAATCACTAGTGTGTAATAGGGCATATCACATAGAATAAGGTTCCCCAAAAGGGTTAGAGTAACCCTTCAAGTTCACACCTAGTGTTATATTACAGTTGTAAAAAACGGTTGTTTTAAGAATGTGATTTTTTTTAATATTAGCTGTTTTTGATTCTTTTTCACTATTATTTTTCTTTTCAGATATAACATTTGACAATCAAAATGAAACAGTTGGTCAGTTTGTAATATGGGGAATAAACATCACAGTAAAAAAAAAAAATAGAGTTTCAAAACTTGGAAAGATCTTTCTGTCCAGTCCGTGGATGACTAAATTTCTTCCATCAGTTTACACAGTAGTATTCATTGTGGCACTGCCACTAAATATAATGGCAATCATCATCTTCCTCGTCAAGATGAAGGTCAGAAAGCCGGCCGTGGTCTATATGTTGAACCTGGCAGTTGCTGATGTATTGTTTGCTTGTACATTACCTTTCAAAATAATTTATCATTTCTCTGGAAACAACTGGATCTTTGGCTCTGGAATGTGCAGTTTTGTTACAGAGACCTTTTACTGTAACATGTACTGCTCCATTCTGCTCATTACGGCTATCAGCGTGGACAGGTTCCTGGGAGTGGTCTTTCCGATCCAATCTCTGTCCTGGCGCACTGTGCGTCGTTCCTGGATGGTCTGCATTCTAATCTGGGTGATATCCATAGCTAGTACTGTTCCGTTGTTCACAACCGAGCAACCGAAACACATTGCCGAATTGAATATCACCACCTGTCACGATGTGGTAGATGTAAACAAAAAAGAACTCTTTTATGTTTTTTATTTTTCCGCTTTTTGTTTTGTTTTCTTTTTCATTCCTTTGATCTTCACAACCATCGCTTATATTGGAATCGTTCGCAGCCTCAGATTCTCAACGTTCGGTAATGCGCTAAAGAGAAGACAAGCTGTGTTTCTTTCCGTTATCGTGTTTTGCATTTTTGTGATATGTTTTGGGCCAACCAATGTCATCTTCCTATCTAACTATTTGTATTTACTGAATGGCATTGTCAATGAGTATCTGTATTTTGCCTATATCCTGTGTGTCTGTGTTGGCAGTATTAGCTGTTGTCTTGACCCACTCCTTTATTACTATGTGTCCCCAGAATGTCAGATATACCTGTACCGGTTACTCAGTGGTAAGGACACCACTAGTTTGAGCAGAACCAAAGAACTATTAGAAAAATAGCTCTCCCTGTGACATTTGAATAACACACATAATTCATTGCTTGTGACAAATCCAGAAAAGGTATGAAATATTTATCCGTAGACTAGATGCAAAAAGATTGAAATGCATTACTGTTTGTTTCTCTATATAAGATAATATTAGCTGCATATTCCATTACTGTATATAAGATAATATTAGCAGCATATTCCATTACTGTATATAGCATAATATAAGCTATGGTGAATGAATCATAATGTTCAAGGATAAACACATATATTCTACTACTTCAGTCCAAATACCTGTCAGCACAGAGTGGATTTAAGTATACACTGCTTGTTATTTCTAAGCCACACATATGGGCAGAGATCCATCAGCCTCCAACTAACCAGGGGAGATGTATATGCACTGCCACCCACACCCACACACTGAACCTTTTACACACATTGCACCCCTCACACATTGCACCACTGCTCCTATACCCTACTACAGCCCCATATCACAGCAGACTCCAGGTAAGTTGTCAAACTGTTCTTAACCCCTTAAGGACACATGACATGTGTAACATGTCATGATTCCCTTTTATTCCGGAAGTTTGGTCCTTAAGGGGTTAAACCAGGGCCGGATTAACATAGGGGCTGATGGAGCTGCAGCTCCAGGCCCAGGCCCATGGAATAGGCTGTGGGGATATTTATGGGATAATAATAGTAAACAGTTGAGAATTGCCCACTAATTCAATTCTCAGATCCCAAATATCGTTATCGTGTTAAGTGAAATGTATACCATATAAATAATATTCACAGTTTTATAAAAATAGATTTTATTTATAATAACAAGTTAATTAATAATAACATGTAACATGCGTGATAATAATCAATGAATATTCAGTATAAAATGATATGCAATACAAAGGAATGGCTACACACGTCTCAATGGCTTAAACAGCATTATCTGTCAAGACTTTGACGATTTATGAGGTATCCTTAACACAGACTTAAAGTGAAACAATTCACAGCGAAGAAAAGTTTTACTCAGAGAACAGAATTCTTCAGAGTGCAGCGTAAGGTCATAAAGTTAGCTGACAGTTAGAATAACCCTTTCAATGCTGGCTAGATCTCCTAGGTAATTAAGATCTATTCTTATGTAATTTCAGATAAAATAACATTTAAACCAGTTCATTAGTCATTTCCTGGAACCATCCAATAAGAGAATCTACCATATTATATGAGCAGAGTTTGTCTAAAAGATATCTATCTTATATTAGAGCAAATCAATACACCTGGATAAAAACAGCGGTATGCTAACACGTGATAATATCACATCAATATATAATTATTCTTAATTCCACCTGCAGAATGGAATGTTTATAACTATATATTCTTTAGTTAACTAAGATTTCTTAATATGGAAATCTGACCGTGCTTTATCCAGTCATATATAATGCTATTAATACATTTTAATTAATTTAATTAATTAAATGAAACCAGTATAATTACCAGTTGAGTAGATATTTAATCCGATTGGTAGTCTCAGGAACTTACTTGGATGTCTCTCTGCATGGAGGTTGGAGTCCCCAAACTTCCAATTCCTCTCTCCTCTTTTCCTTTCTCCTTTGCATCTGCATACCTTGTATATCTCTATCTTCCCTTTGTCTTAACTTTTAAAGGGCCAGACTCTCTGTACGTCATCAGTTGATAACCCAATAGAAGCACTAGAGGTGTGGTTATCTTCCAGATCGCAATTTAGTTATTTGGTCTATAGAGGGCAGTCTTGTCCCACTAAACATACCTATCCAGGAAAGAGTTAACTTTTCCTAGTGACTATTTTGACGTCATTTTGCTTATCTCAAATGACCACTATAACTTACGTATCCTTCACAGATCAAAGGGTTTATTTAAGTTTTGTCCAGACTATGTGTCTAGCAATCTGAGTTTTGACCCGTAACTTACAATGGGACCTTATATGTATAGACAGTTAAATTGTATTATTTAATCTTCTCTGTCACAATTGTCTGGGTTTAGAATTGATTATATTCTTCTTATCACTTGTTTATACTATGCATTCCTTTTAGCTCTGACAAAGTGGCTAGTCTTACAGAAATAAATCTTGTGTCTTTTTTTGTTAACTTGGAATAACAAAATGGAGTCTGGTCTGTTCAGAGTGACTCAGAATATACACTTTTAGTTTCTATCATAGCACAAGATGTCTGCCGATTTAAATACTCAGACAGACACACACACGCACAGACAGACAGACACACACGCACAGATAGACAGACAGACATACACACATGCACAGACATACACACACACACACAGACATATATACTTGCAGACACATACACACAGACAGACATATACACACACCTAATTTATCAGCCACCCTCCTCTTACCTTTAAGTAATCTCCTCTCTCCTCTCATTTTTCCTGTCCTCTGCTCTCACTTTGCTCTCCCTCCGATTTCCTCCCGCACGCAGTAAGCTGGGAGGAAGTGACTGGCTGTCACTTCCTCCCAGCAGCACTTGCGGTGTAGCCACAATTTTTTTTTTTTTTAAACGGGGCCCGGTCGCGCAATTACACGCCCGCAGTGCTGACTGGGCCCCTGAAGATATAGGGCCCATCGGGTGGCCCTAAATGCTTGGGCCACCTGATGGGCCCTGGTGCAGATGCACCCATGGCAGTTTCGCCCCTCCACGTGGGGCCCGGGCGGCAGTTATGGTAATGGGTAATGTGTGTAATTAATGTAATGAAAATTAAGAGAACATGCTATGTGTAACGGATCACCTGGCACCCCCACAGGGTACCTCCGTTGACAGATGCTCCTAGTGCTTACCGAGGGCTCCAAGCACTTCTCCAGACATCCCCATGAACTGCTGCAGCTTAGTTGGGGGCTCGCCGTCTCCTACCCACCCTGGACCTACGATAAGGCTCCAGATTCCAATGGGTGAACCTCTCTTCCTCCAGAGAGTGAAGCAGGAACAGCTCTTACAAGAGCTAGTGATTATTCAAGGGAGTATGAAGAGCACAGCAATCCTTTGTAGCAGTTTCCCTCAATAAAAGACAAGACTCTAGATTGAGGGTAAATCAGGAACAGAGTTTAATGGCACACACTGGTCTTTTATACAAGTTTTACAGCAAAGGTGATGCCTAGGTGGACCTAGTTGTGCACCCAATACAAAACATACAAGCCAATAAAAACAGAGGTTTACATTCAGACACTCCCATACAGTGTATACAATCCCTCCCCTCTGCCTGTGATACAATTAACAAGGACAATGGACTAACTCAATTAACTTTAAGCAGAAAAAAAACAAATTTTTACAAACCCCAAAATACAACATATCCCCCTGATAGCCCTGATTTGGGTGAACAACATATCCAAAAATCACCCATATCGGTTCAAGGGTTCAGGAATTTCCTGGAAGTCTTATTTTGCCCCACCGTGCACATGGTCCCATGCCCAAAACAGTTCCATAGACTCAACGACAAAACACTGCTGGACAATTTAAGATGGCCACTGCCACATGTTTGAATCTGTTCCAGTTAAAAGTCCAAGGGGCAGAAACAGTACTTTTGAACATGGGTTATCACAGGGCCCATAGTCCCAGGGTAGAAGGCTGGCAAGCAGGCCCCTCCAAAACCTCATGGCAACCTCCCTTAAAAAGGGAGTTTGTCACACTATGATTCACTCTTCAATCTGTTTGTAAAACCAGCTGGCATTCTTTCACTGTCATTTTATATAAATAAATGTGGCATTATATTATAGTGACTCAGTATCATTCATTACCTTGAAAAGTTCTGTTAGTGATGTAAATAATAAGACTGTTTGTTCTTGTCAAAGTTAGTTTATTGTTAACACAACAGACTTAATAAAAATTGCTCTGGTGCAAATTCGGAGGAATCATAGCAATAACATTTATGATATTGTAGATAGTTACAATTATTAAAACATATAACTGAAGGGGGCGTTTCCCGGACACGGACCGGAGCAGCCGCATGTAGTTAGAGCTCCGTGCCGCGATGGCTAAATAGGAGTAATATAAAGCACGCTAAAGCCTACAAATAGGACCAGATACCGCCTGAAGCCACAAGGTCCCAGCCCAAAAGCAAGCGGACCGGCGAGAGGGGAATAAAAAGTAACTTCTTTGCCTCAAGGGCAGGACAGGGAAAGACGTCAAACCAGGCAGAACACGCACAAGATGGCGCTGGAGGGAAACTCGAAACAGAGGCCCATTTTGGCGAAAGTGATCCGCTGACCCACAGCACCTTGAAAAAAATGTCAGACAAGATTGTGGGAAAGATGGACAGCGCTATCAATGATTTACGAAAAGAACTACAAGACATAGGCCAATGCACATCGCACACAGAGGATCAACTCTCAGAAATGGCAGAGGCCCACAACTCCCTGGCAGACACTGTGGAGGGCCTGGTCGCAAAACTGGTCAACCAGGACCTCAAAATTGCGGATATGGAGGACTGGGCACGTCGCAACAACCTGCGTATACGGGGAGTTGCAGAAGCGGTTAAAACAGAAGATCTCACCGCCCATGTCATGGGCCTGCTGAGAGAACTGGCTCCAGACCTGCCACAGGACCTGCTCCTGATGGATAGAATCCACAGAACCGCCAAACCAAAATTCCTACCAGCAGATACACCAAGAGACATCTTGCTACGAATGCACTATTATCACACTAAAGAAGCAATACTCAATGCTAGCAAAAGACGGAAAGAATTGCCTATAGAGGGACCACCATATATGCGGACATCTCCTCATACACCTTAAAACGAAGACGTGACTTCCGAGACATAACTACACAGGTCAGAGACAACCACCTCCCATATAGATATGGCTACCCCACCAAGCTCCTGGTGATGAGAGAAGGGAAAACCACCATCATTGGATCCCCGGAAGACGGCCAGCGAATCTTGCGGGATTGGAACATAACAGCCATACCAACGATGGAACAAGAGGGGAACAGAGCCAAGGCCTCACAGGACTGGAAGAAGGCGAAAAAGAGATAAAGGGCAGAGACTTGTGGATGCTCTATGGCACCTAAATATACGAGACTACCAACTGCAGGGCAGGGTAACGTACTGAAATACACCACACTCAGAGTAACTTAAGTGCTCCAGATTGAGCACGGTGACAGATGGGGGACTTCACATTATAGCATAGAGGGACCAAGGGGATCGCAGACTACAGACTACCATTCCCCACCCAGACTAACGAGTTGAACCATACCAGCCTAGCACACCCGCCCGAATAAGAGGAGAATAGCCAGGGAGACATCCACACAAGCTCCTTACACAGAGACCTGGAATAGATGCAGGAGATCCAGATACTAAATAAATAAATAAATAAAAACAAAAATTACCTATTGCCCGATTTACTATCCACGGCTTTAGCCTACAGTTGGGACCTTCCAACAAAAACACCAGAAATAGCCGCAAAGGGAGACAGCTCCCGAAGGACTTGGGGCCTTCAGCCTCTTCCCCCCCAAGGCACGACAATGCAGTGCCAAGCCGACTTAACGGCACCAACAGTTAGTAAGAATGTTTATGTAAATACTTTTGTTTATGTTATTGTATTAATGTATGTTGTTTTATGCAATGTTTACACTCCACATGTATTGCATTTTGCCAACAAACAGAAGATAGGGTTAGTGGGTAACCCAACATCAACCTGCACACAAATAATGAAGAGGCCTGGAAGTTGCCAGACCATTGTCACCGACTGTTCTGCAAGCCCATTAGAGAAACTACCTAACACACAAAGGGACACACTGCTCAGCTCGACAAAGCTGGGGAGAGCAGGGACCCCTCAAATCATAGACCACCACGTGAGATGTAAAGAGTACCACATCCACAAGCCACCATGAAATTGTGTTCTTTCGATGTCAGAGGCCTCAACGCACTAGTAAAAAGACACCTGCTCACCAGGGAGGTCAGAGCCCTGGGAGCAGACATACTATGCCTCCAAGAAACACATTTTAGACATAACGACCACCCAGCAATTTTGACCACCGACTTTCCACACCAATTCCACGCTACATCCCCCACAAAGGCAAGAGGAGCATCCATCCTAATAAATAAAGCTGTCTCGTTTACACTACACTCCGCAGACATAGACCCGAATGGTCGATACATCATACTCAAAGGGTTGTTTAATGACATGTTATACACCATCGTAAACATGTACTCACCAAATACAAATCAGAAATTTCTTGCACAAAATCCTAACCAAAATAAACCACATCCAAACAGTTATCACAGTGATAGGGGGAGACTTCAATCACATAATAGACCCGCAACTAGACACAACCCTACCACCCCACCGGAAACATCACCGCCCCTAAAAAGACAATGAAGAGCTATAGCGAAACTCCTACACGATTACCATCTATATGATGCTTGGAGAATCACACACCCGACAGAAAGGGTATATACCCACTACTCAGCTGTACATAATTCCTACTCTAAAATAGACGGATTCCTTATCTCAGACTCAGCGCTAGACCAACTCCTACACAGTGACATACAGCAAATCACATGGTCCGACCATGCACCAGTAACCATAGAATTAAAAAATAATTACGACTTTAAACATCGCAGCCCTTGGAAAATTAACAACTCCTTGTTGAGGGATAGGGAATTTGCAAACTCCCTGATGAGGGGCCCTCAAACATACTTTCAACAGAATGAAACAAAAGACACCACGGATGCAACTTCATGGCTCGCCCACAAAACAGAAGCGCGAGGCCTACTAATTCAGCAGCATATGTAAAAAAAGACACGCCAAACTCAACTTAGGGCGTGGCAGGCAGAACTGTATGAGATGAATAGACTAAATCAACACACCCCATCTGCAGAGATGAAAGACAAGACAACCCAAATCACAAAACTCATACACCAGCAAGCGCTAGACACAATGAACTCAAACATGCAGAAGCTCAAAATAACCCACTACATACAGGGCATTAAAGCAAGCAAATTACTGGCACAATGACTGAAAACAAAGCAGGCGAATCAGAAAATATTTTACCTCAAAGATCAGACGGGTACAAAAATCTCCAACCCCAAGGGAATAAGCTAGGTATTCGTAACGTACTACTCCTGTCACGGGTGGCGGTACAGAAACCGGGACCCCATAGTGCCTGATGAGAAGTGGGAGTCTTCAACGTGGAAGTGGATTATCAGGGCCTGGTGCAGGACAACCACACACCCCCTTATGCTGAGCACCAGCGTTTATGCAGCCACATACCAGAACCCTGATTCAGCTTATGCGGATCTCAGGAACTAGGAGGTTGGAATTAAACAGACCTCCCAGGAGCTGAATAGGGAGGATCTGCAGCAGGTTTGTATCCAGTACAGAAACAAGGCAAGGTTAGGATAGTCACCAAACATGAAAACAAGACAGAACTAATAGAACCCAGAACCGGAGCAGGATAGAAGCTAAACCCAGAACATGTACACAAGACATGAGGGAACATTAACTAAACAGGGGCAGTATAGGACTGTACATGGACTGGGGTAACAAAATAAAACAAGACAAGATATAATAGGCAAAACAAGAGGAGACATAACTAAGCACTATATATGAAAAGTATAGGGATTTAGTTACATTATATGATCATACACTGCATAAGCCTGCCACAACGCCAATGTACCCCATATCTGGCAGGTCCTACACTGCCTAATGTTCGCTAAAACAACCATACTAAACCACAATAGCACTTACCTGCAAGAAAGGGCAGAGACTTGAAACACTGCTGCAGGTCCAGACTGAAACAAATGGAAAACAAACGGGTGTGGCAACATAAAACAAACATTTAAAGGAAACCTGGAGACTGGGAATCCCAGGGATGGATTACAGGAATGAACCCAGAAATTCCAGAAATAAAGAAAACCAGACATAGAATAGAAAACCAGAAAAACCAAGAAAAACTAAACAAGAATTGTAAAGAGTACTGGATACCAGAAGCCAAAGCCAGACATCTCCGCAGAACATGGCATGATGTGACAACTCCTCACTAAACAATATTCAGAAAGACATGCAGACAAAACACCCATCACACCTTAGTATCAGGAACTACCTTGATGAGGTGAAGCTACCCAATCTCACGCCTCAACAACAGTCGGCCCTTACTGAACCGATAGAGGCCCAGGAGATCAGGGACCTAATTAGAAGCCTTCCGTCGGGAAAATCCCCAATAGCGGATGGGTTTGACAATCAGTACTATAAGCAGTTTGGCACAATACTGGCGCCTTACCTAGCCAGAATATTCATGGAGGCAGCCCACAAGGGCGAACTCCCCAGAGAAACACTGACCGCCCATACTGTCACGCTTCCTAAACCCAATAAAACCCCAACAGTACCGCAAAACTTCCGAACCATCTACCTCCTCAACACTGATACAAAGCTATTCGCTAAACTATATGCAAACCGGTTGGGAAACATACTACCACACATAATCCACAATGACCAGGTGGGTTTCATCAAGGCTAAACAAGGAGCGGACAATACCAGGAAGGTCATCAACATCCTCTACCACTTGAAGAGCCAGCGGCGGGGGGGACTCATGGTCTCCCTCGACGCTGAAAAAGCTTTTGACCGCCTACACTGGGGGTTCCTACGAGCAGTACTGGGCAAGTTTGATATCCCCTCCAGTTTTGTGTCGGTAGTGAAGGCCCTTGGCAAAGGTATTCAATGCAGGATTTTTGTCCGAGCCATTCCAGCTTACGAATGGCACGAGACAGGGCTGTCCCCTATACCCCCTGTTATCTGTCTTGGCGTTGGAGCCTCTGGCGATTAAGATACGGGAAAACTCTGCGATACACGGTCTGGAGATAGGAGTGAGGGAATACAAAGCAAACCTATTCACATACTGCTCACACTTACACAGCCGCACATATCACTGCCAAACCTCCTGCAGGAAATAGAAAGACATGGAGAGCAATCGTACTACAAACTTAACGTCATGAAAACCCGAGCTATGGGGATAGGGATACCACAACACACCATAGAACACTTAAAACTCTCATTCCCATTGGACTGGAGGGATGGCCACCTCACGTTCCTGGGTCTGAGAATCCCAAAGGATCCTCGGGGTCTCTTGGACCTCAACTATGGAAGACTACAAGGAGAAATCAGCGACACACTGAAGAAATGGGAAGATAAATACATGTCATGGGTGGGGAGACTAGCGGCAGTGAAGATGATGTTACTGCCAAAATTTCAATATCTACTTAGAACACTACAGATCCCCCTACCAAACACATACTTGAGACGGCTGCAGAATACCATCACTAACTTTGTTTGGGCACACAAAAAAATACGAGTAGCCATGAGGATTCTCACTAAAACTCTGGCACAGGGAGGGTTGGGAATGCCAGAGGTGCGGATGTACTATAGAGCAGCACTACTGACCACAGCCCTACAAGCAAAAACAGCCCAAAACCCACCACAATGGATAGAGATGGAATCGACTTGGACATGTCCCAAAGGCATTAAATACCTCTTCTGGGTACCGCACGGGCGACGCCCGCTGCTCCCGGAAATGCCCGCCACCACAGAAACCCTGCTAAAAACCTGGGACAAGGTCAAACCACAGTTCGGATACACCACCGCCTGGGCGCTGGCCTCTCCCATATACAGCATACATGTAGCGTACCCTGCTTTCGACCACCGCATATGGATAGAAAAAGGATGCACACTAGTTAAACACCTGTATAGGCAGGGGCAACTGAGACAATTCCCAGACTTATAACTAGAGTATGACTTACCACAAAAAACTATATTCTCTTACCTACAACTAAAGCGAATATTGGCACACGACACCACCCTGACTACTCCGACACACACGAAGAGCATGTGTATCCATGTCCATGCCCAAGAAACCACTCTCACTCCTATACGCAATGCTCAATGACTCAAGCCAACAACCGCAGATAGACAACTTTAAAGAAGCATGGCACAATATTCTCAGATGAACAATGGACCCAGGCTTTCACAGCTCATAAGGGCAGATCCAGATGCGCATCTCACTTAGAGCTCATGCGCAAGATAAAATACAGTTGGTACCTGGTGCCAACAAGACTAGCGTGCATTTACCCCAACACCTCAAAAATATGCTGGAGATGCTTAACAGAAGAGGGCACAATGTGGAATATTGGAGGATAGTATATATATATACTGAAAGAAAAGAGACAATTTTCCTAAGCTTTCCTGGCTAATTACAAGGCTGTTCAAATTTTTAAGAACTTGAATCAGTCTCTAATGGTTTAATATTGGTTTAATATTTAAGATCTTACTTGTGGACAGATGAAAATTTTGTAAAAGAACACTCCAAGAACCGAAACAACTCCCTATCCCCACATCTGCTCAGTGAGATCTGGGAACCCTTATCACTGCAGTGCAGGGCTTAGCTTATTGGCTGAGCACATTCAGCTGGCTCTGAGTATGAGCTTCTGGTTCTCATAGTAAAGTAGTGGAAGCAGGAACCAGTGGAAATCAAACTGTTCTTTAATGGCTTGATTGCTTACAATGGGTGGGGGTAACCCTTTTAATTTGGGCACAAATATTAATCCATTTTAAAAATCTGGAAAAGAAATGATAAAAAAGCCCTTTTTTTTTCACAGTTCGCTTACAATACATTTTACATATAAAAAATAAATAAAAAATGTGTGTGGAGAGGTAGCTTGGGCTGTTAAGTGAGTCTGCTTGGTCTCTCATATTTAAAGAGGACAGCTACAGCAAACTCTTTAATCCTTGCAAGTTCGGGGGTCATTTAAAGGGACACCCCACACCCCTAAAACACTTCAGCTTGTTAAAGCACTTTACAAAAAGTGCAGGTTGCAATAGAAATTATCCCTGTTACAATCAGACAACCGGTCCTATTATTTTCTGGTAGTTTTTCTCAGTGGAGATAAACTCAAGAGGCAGCAACTGCCCAGAGCACCTGCCTTACAAAGACTTCTCATTGAGCTGCATTGGGAAGTCTGTGATTGGACAACAACAAAAAGTCTGGGTGGGGTTAGAAGGGGAGGGCTTGCAAAGGATTCTCTGCAGCCAGAGCCAGATTACCCATTAGGCAGCCAAGGTGGGTGACAGGTGTTTGGAAACGAGATAATATTATGTTGAAAGTACTTTAGTTGGGTGTATGTGTGTATAATACAAAAAGATGTTTTATATTATAATAAACATAATATGGTGGATATGAGAAACAATGTCATATTTTCCTGTTGCTGTATAAAGTAATTTGTCTTTTATTTTTTTTAATTTCCTTTCCATTTTGCATTGTACCAAGAATTACGGTATATTTTATTAAAACAAATACATATCATTCATCTCCTGAGAATAATTCTGTTAGCAATGTGACCGATAAGACTGTCAGCCCTGTTTTTTTCTGAGTAGTATGATAAACATGATAAGAGCAAATGGCTAACTCAGACAGATACATTTTTGTTCATTGCAAATATATAGACTAATTCTTTAAAACAGCAAAGCATATCAGCACATAAACAGGGACATTGTGTACAAAACACAATAGTCACCCAGATCATGTCATCTCAATGAAGTGGTTTGGGTGCAGGATCCTGTCCTTTTAACCCATTAATGTAAAACATGACAGTGTTATAGTTATAGTCAGTCTGACTGTATGAGAACAACTAGAGGCACCTTTGCTGCTGTACAACTTGGTCATTTGACATGGAAGACCTCATAGAATACTATTAATTCAATGCTTTCCAATGGAGAATTTTGAATGCGTAGGGACAGGACACTATAATGTTAGGAAAATAGGTTTGAATTCCTAATGTTATAGTGTTCATATCTGTACACAATCTTAATTTTTATTTTAGTCAATTTTGTTCATAATTTTCATAAACAATGAAGGACTATGTTTCAGAAATGATCTGGGATCCTCATCTTGCTATAATTCAGCTAGTGACTAAACACTGGTATAGAAGAGAGATTTTATTAACAGACTATCTATATTATATGAACCCACTGTTTTGATTAAAATGTTTCTTGCAGGATCTTTCACTTTGGTCTCCACCATTGCTACAAACTCGTCACGTAGTCCATCTTTACATTCTCCATAATTACCTACAGTTACCAACAGTATCACAGCTTTTATACCATGGCTTCCAGAATTCATTACCATCTCTCCGGCATTCTAACCCTTACTGGCTTTGTTTATTGGATTACACTTCATCCTCTACAGAGTGATAATCAGGCACAGGGCCCATGGCTTTAGTCTCAATGATTAACCCAAATACACAAAAATAAGTCCTGCGCTCAGACCCAGCAATGAGCATAGTACACACCAGCCCCAATACATATAATAAAAAACAAAGAAAAAAGTGTTTCCTGCACACTACACCAAATCCCTGTGCGTATTTAGTCAAACTTAGTTTTTTGTTTTTACTCCAATGGTAATTAGATGTAAGCCCAGCTGCTACGTCAAGGCAAACCTCTTAGGTGGGTCCTACATTAACAATTCACCTTGCTTCCTTTAGCTTCAGGCTGAAAAAATCTGAGACAGAGAGGGGTAATTTTCTAAACCCCTACATACATATTAACCCTTAATTGTTACATTTGATGAATCTAAAAAAAAATACTTCAGGCAGCTACTTCTCCAGGCAGCCATCTTTTAGAAAAATAAAGATCAGTAGTACCGGTAGTGCTCCGCGACTAGATAGCGGGAGCAGGGAGCAGTGCCCCCAGGTTACTGTCAGGGGTGCACACCTCTCTAGCACTTACATAGGGATAGGATCATATTGAACACCTGGCTGTGCAACATGTGCTTTTCTTTCATTGAGATCATTAACTCGAGCTACATGGGTAGAGAGGGGCAGCGTATCATAGAGAGGTAGGGAAATGTCATGTAGGAGTAAGCAATCTATATATCCAGCAATGGACAATAAATTAATTGACCTTAGGGTAGATAAAGTTGTGGCTACACACTGAAGCAGAAATAATTTTTTTAACAATTGGTGTTATCTACCATAACTCTGTATTGCTGCCACCAAATCCTGATAAAATAATTCATAAGAATTCAATATGAGCAATTCAGATATCAAAGCTGCTGAGATCAACACTGTGATAGCTCAGAACGTAAAATGCCATGGGGTCTAGCAATCAGAAATATGAATCTTGAATACACGTCTGATAATACACATGTACTAAAAAAATTCGCAATATGCATTGCTGAATCTTGAAAAGGAGACGGGGATTTTACATT